GCTCTAGGTAGAGGCAGGGATCTGGGGAAGGGATGGGGGGTCAAATGCAGGCTGGAGGGGGATGCCTGCAAATGTGGGATCACTGTCATGACCCCGTCTTTGGGGGCATTGTGGACACGTGGGAGTCCCTGGGGGGTGGAGAGCGCAGGCTCAGGTAGGGCATAGACTTGTTGTTGACCTGAGCCTGCATCTTCTGTTCTTCCTGCCGGCAACTGAGGGCAAAGGGTGCAATGAATGCAGCCCGTGAGCTAGCATGGGGTGTGCGGGGGGTGAGCTGAGGGAAGCTCGCTCCAGCCTTTCCACGATGTTTGCAGGGTCTGTGCATTCGCATAGTAATGGAGTGACGAAATAACCGGGTGCCAGGAGAAGCCAAGCACCCACCGTGCCCCTGACGGGGAAGGGCGCAGCGTGACCTCGAACTCTGTGCTTGTTCTGGCCGAGAGGATGTGCCTCGACAGCTGTGCTTGTCGCAGTGGCTCTTCTCGAGGGGACTGCATACGGGATGGCTGTGGAGAACTGCCCAGCAGCTGTGATTTCGCCACCCCCCCCGGGTCTCCTGGGCAGAGATCCTGCCCTGCCTGCTGCTGCGCAGTGCCCTGAGCTGGGATAGCTGGGGGCCGCATCCAGGGAGCTGCGGAGGTGCTTGGGGTGCTTGGCAGGAAGCTGGTCTGAGCCCTGCAGCAGCTTTCCTACCATTTATTTTTTCCCATCGTTCCTTTTCCACCTCGGACCGGTCCGGACCCCCGGGTAGCAAATGTCTTTCCCATGCAAGAGAGAGAAAGGGAAGCAAATGGTGTGGAAATGCGTAGCAAATTAGGATGCAATACACAACAGGCCTCTCCCTGCTGCACCGTCCCCCAGCCCGGGAGGAGGGAGGGGCAGATGGGGAACGAATTACTTGGAGATGGGAAAGCTGGTGGAGACGCAGCCCGTACCAGACCTTCCCAGTTGTAGCAGGAGTCTCCGCTGAGCCTGGTGTTGCTGACACCAGCCAGGCTGTGCACCGGCACGCGGTGCCAAGCGCTCCAGCGAGGCCAGCTGGGGTTTTGTGCACACTGGTCAATGCTTTAGTTAGGCCAAATGCCATTTACTCGGAGCGTAAAGGAGAGGAGATCCAGAGCGAAGCGCCAGGAAGGTCTGAGGGGGGCCGGGCACGTTCCCGCAGCGCAGGGAGAAGGGTGAGAGCGGCCTCAGGCGTTGCTGAGCTGGAAGCAAAGAGCCAGGGGCGAGGTCTGTTGGAGCCCCTGGCTAAGCACTGACGGGCCCATCCTTAGCTGCTGGAAGTAGGCACTGCTCTATGGACTAAGCACCAGCGCGTCCCGGCTCAGCACCCTCTGAGCTCTGCCAGGGCCTCGTGAGTGCCACCAACCTGCTCAGACAGGTGGACCCTCGCTGCGAAGCTCAGATTTGGAGCTGAATCCAAATTTCCAGCTTTCCCCCAGGATTTGAAGCTCTGTGTTGTGGGGCCCTGCCCCAAAGCCACATCCAGGTGTGCCAGGTGTGAAACCCCCGCCAGCCGCCATCCCCGAAAGGCAGGAGCTGTGGGGTCTAGGGCCCTGGTGTGCATGGGGGCAAGGCTGTGGCACTTTGTTCATCGCTGAATAGCACGGGGAGTGCCGGGAGTTCCTCGCCGTATAAATCACGGAGGCGCCGGGGGGTTTATTACCTCCGGGAAACAATGCCGTGTGCTCGCCAGAAGGGGAAGAGCCCAAGGTAACTTTGGCTTCCATGGCAACTGTACCTACAAGTGTAACATTCAATGAAATGTTCCTGGACACGGCTTTATTATAAGCTGCTCTCGCCTCCTGACCCTGCAGCTGCACACGGCTTTCCCCAAGGGCTTGGAGCCTGACATCGGCACGGCTCGGGGGCCATCGCCTGCCCGCTGCCGGGATTGCAGCCTGCGCCTCGTCTGGGAGCTTGAGGCTGCCCTGCATGCTCCCACCCCAAAGCTGCGGCCCCTTTGCTCATGTCCCACCTTGCAAGCCTTCATCCTTCCTGTCTTTGCAGCAGGAAGGTGCTGGCAGCTGGCAGACACGGGCCCCGGGGAGCAAGGAGGGGGCGGGCACCTGCCCCTTCGTTCAGAGATGGGCGATTGAAGCCACCGCCCAAGGCATGGGCCCTTAGGACCGAGCTGGGAGGCCGGGGCAGACCATGTGAAGGGCAGGGGGAGCAGAGCAGGCAAGGGGAGACGCCCCGGGAGCGTGGCCCTGGGTGGAAGACAAGGGTGGGGAGGGACAGGTTTGCTTCTCCTGCACGCGTCTCCTCTCCGAAATAACCCAACTAATTGCTTGGGAACACGGCACATCAGAGGCTCCTGGTTCTTGTTCGTCAGCCATAACGGCCTCAGTCCTCGAGGCCCATCCGAAATGCCCCTTTGCAAAATCCCCAGCTCTCCTTAAAGGTCCCTGCTGTGCGTCTCTCTCCAGGCTCGTGCTCCCCGCTGAATGGGGCACGAAAACCTGTTTGAGAAGGGCTTGGAGGAGGAGCGGGTCACGGTGTCGGTCACCAGCAGCTTTGCAGGCAGCCGAGGCGGCACCCGGGCACGTGCGGCTGCAGCGTGAGAGCTGCTGTTTCCTGGGTCGGACCCTGCAGGGGTCCTTCGTGCCGGGTCTCCGGTGTCGCACGGGGCAGCGAGCGGAGGCTGGGAGAGTGACCGGCTCCGAGCAGGGTTTTATCTGCGGCTCCTCTCTGCTTTGCAGCCTCTGGGACGCTCTGATTCGGAGGCCGTGCCCCTCACTCCCACGCTCGATAGCGACTGACGCCCCTTTCCTCCCAGCGCGAGTCCAATCCCCGGGTCAATCTGGCTGGGCTGGCTCGCAGCTTCCACCACGTCTGGGGGCCGTGCGCGCCCCACTGCCACGACAGCCTGGGTGAAAAATCTTCCTTTTGCTAGTTTTAAACTTACCTTTCATTTTCTTTGGCTCAACCCTCAACGCCCGAGCAGGCAAGGTACACAGCCAGCCCTTCCTGCCATTCCCTCGCTGCCGTCTCGCTCGCTCCAAGGCGATCAGCCGCACAAATTGCAACCCCCCTTCTCCCCTCCCCAGACGGACTCGAGTCCGTCCCCAGCACTTCTTGGCTGGTTCCTGGCTCTGAGAGCAGGGCTCCTGGGTCCCATCCCTGGCTCTGCTGGCAGCTCGGTGTGTGACCTCGGCCCAGTCAGGGCTCTGAGCTATGCCTCAGTTCCCCTGTCTGTAAAATGGGGGCGATGCTGTCGAACTTTGCAGAAAGCTCTGGGACCTATCACGACATCGCCGTGCGAGCGGCTCCGTGGCGGTCCGCTCCAGGCCTTCCCCCGGCGGGAACCTCCACGTTGTTTGCTTAGCAGGCGGCTCACACGGGGCCATGCTGCCCGGACCCCCGCCCCCACCACGCTTCCTGCCTCCCCGAGTGGCGTGCGCGTCTCCTGTTTCATCTCGTTAGTGGGGAAAACCGAGGCAGTGAAAGCAGGAGAGCCAGTCACTATGGCAACAGATGTTTATCAAGCCCCTGAGATGAGGCACCGGGCTGGGGAGAGGCGTGTGGGCCTCCGGGACGGGGGTCTGGCATCGGGGCTGGCAGCGCCTCGGCCCAGCGTGCGTGGGCTCAGCCCTCGCTTGGCCTCCTGCTTTGGGGTGCTGCTGGCCAGCTCGGCCGTACGTTGCTGTGCCCTGGGATCGCTAGCCCCCCGAAAGCCGGGGGGGGCGGGTACATGATCCCTTCCTGGTGGTTCCCTGAGTGCAACGGCTGCACTACCTCCCTGGCAGCCTGGGCGCATGGGCAGCAAGGGCACGGTACAGCCCAGGACTGCCAGCTAAAGGAGAGCAAGCTCAGGGGGCTGCGGGGTGCCAGCCTGCACCAGGGGCCGTCCCCGCTCCTGCAGGCCTCTCCCACCCGCAGGCCCCTTCTGAGCGGGGTCTCGAGCCCAGGGAAACCTGTCGGGGTGGCGTTGTGCCGGGGATCTGCCGGCCCCCGGGTCTGGCTGGTAGCAAGGCAGGTCTCGGGGCGGCACCACGCGGGCCCCAGGACTCTGCTCGTCCCTGCAGGTTGTACTGGCTGTTGGGGCAGCTTCTCGCCCCGTGGGGGTGGGGCAGGTGGGCGGTCGCCCTGCCCTGGCAAGCTCCTGCTCGCCTTGGAGAGGGTGGAAGCAAGAGCTCTGGCCTCGTCTTTCCCGTTGCGTTGCCCAGATCCCGGTTGGGCCAAGCTGCGGAGCTGAGCACGGGTCAAAGGGAGATCCCGGCTAGCGCCGGTGCAAAGCCCCTTCAGCAGCATTGTCTTCGCTTGGGAACAAGACAGCACATGCCCCAAACCCTGCCGAGGCGACTTTATTTGTGAGCGTGGGGAGGGGGCAGCCGGCGGCTGCAGCACCAGGCAGGAAAGGGCAGCACACGTGGCTGCGTGGCAAGCGGCAAGCTGGCAGCAGTGTTTTGGGAGAGGGTTTGCTGTGTCACCAGCCCTGGCACCAGGATCGAGACCCATACGCAGGAGAGCGCAGTCTGGTATGAACGGGAGGGTGACTGCGAGCAGACGGGGGGCTGGTGTTTGCCTCGGGCTCTGCAGGGTCCAGTCGTCCTCCACTAGCCCGAGGCAGAGGGCTCTTCCTGGCCGCATGCTGCAGGTCTTGTGTCCTGGCCTGGCTCTGTGCTGGGGCTGTGGGACAGACGCTTGGAGGCTTTAGAGATGGCAACACTCGGGCATCCCTATGGCCTTGCCAGGCCTCTGCGTCCGGCCCCAGGCAGAGGCTCCTTGAGACCCAGCCGGGAGCAACCGGCACCTGGAGTGACTGGGAAACTGCCCGAGTTACTTTTGCAGCCTAGCAAGCCTTAGACCCAGCAGCGTCCAGCGCAGCCTCCTTGGGGCTTCCCGGCACGAACGCCGTGTGCAGAGCGCTCTCCGTGCACACACTAGCAGCAGGAGTGAGAGGGGCAGTGAGGGGGTGGGGGCAATGTAGCCAAAGCTACAGGGCAAGTGTCAAGCAAGTCATGCAAAGAGCTGAGCGTGGAAGGACCGTGCCTCGGTCCCGGCGAGGAGCTTGGACCCGTGCCGAGGGGAGGTAGCTGAGGGCTCTGGCCGGCGCTGCACTGAGGCCAGGGCAGGCCACCTTTCCAGGAGGTGTCCTTCCTCGTCTCCCCGTGCAGGGGCCTTTCCTTCTGGCATCGCCCAGACCTCTTGGCATCTGTCAGGGTATGAAAAAGCAGCAGCTTATTTGAGTCATGCACAGGGTCCCATCAGCTCCGGGACAGGACACGTTGAGCGTGGCATGTGGGGGACAGAAGCTGTAATGATCTATTGATGAGCGTGCAATGAACGCTCTTTCTCAGGTAACACCCATGCGGCTGGTACGTGTCTCTGTGAACACACAAGCCATCCACAGCACGCGTGCCATTATCGCCTGCCTGCAAGCCCCCTGCGGTTGTGCAAGAGAAACACATGGCCGCACACGGTGTTGGAGCCCAGCTCCAGCTCCCAGCACAGCGGCTGAGTGAGCAACCCAGGCGGGCACCTTTGGTTGGCATAGCGCTGCTCTGGACGGCACGTATCCTTGGGCCGCAGTGATGGCCCGTGACGCAGTGCCTCCGTGCACAGCGGCCTGGGGAGACGGTCACAGCCCTGCCGGCGGGGGGAGCAGTCCGGGGATGGGGCTCGCTGCTGGCTGGCACTGTGACCAGCCTGAGGTCAAAGGGAGACCCAGAGGACGGCAGACTTGCCAGCCGGCATCTCCGCAGCCAGTCTGGACCCCACGAGACAGAGCTGGGGACTCACCGCTGTGCAGCCGGGGCTAGTACATTGTGCCCCCGTGTCCCAGAACCATGGCGATGCCCAGCAGCAGCTGCAAGCTCCCAGTAGCAGGAGGTGGTGCATTAGACTCTGCAATTCCCAAGGAGATCAGACATTACCTTAATCGGGAGAGCTCTGCTTTGGGGAGAAGCTGGCGCTGAGCACGTGGCCAGGCAGCGGGGGAAGGGGCAGCTGAGAAGCAGAAGGGACAGTGTGCTGGTGCAGGCTGGCACCCCCCCCCGGGACTGAATGCCATATTACCTGTGGTTGCGTGCGTGGGGGAGGTGGGAACTCCATGTGCAATGGAGATGGGAGATGGGGGAGTCAGGCAGCTCCTCCAAAGACCCCAGAGCTGCCTTTTGGTTCCCAAGTGACTCAGGGCAGAGGGGGTGAGCTGTGCAGGACAGGGTGTGTTATCGGGCCATGACCGTGGACCCCTGTGTGATGGGTGCTGTGTGTTGCACCGGAGGAAAGGCCGTGACGCTGGGTGGCACAGGGCAGGGTGCATTGGCCATGCCTTCAAATCGCAGAGGATGCTAACAGTGCAGCTTGCACAGCTTTCCAGTGAGAAGTGGCAGTGCATGGGCTTTGCCCTGAGATGTCCCGGTCCCCACAAGCCTCCGCTAGGCACTGGTTTCTCCAGTCTGTCAGCACCAGGGCAGGGAGGTGCACTGGCAGGGGTTGGGCACCGTGCCCTGGGACCGGCTGTGGGTTCCCTGTTGGTGCAGGGAAGGTGGTGGGCGACGCTGCCTGCAACGGATGTGGGAGTTGGAGGGAGCCCCTCCAAAGACCCAGGGCAGCTACCGGCGCACAGGAGCCTCCATGCAGTGCATTCCCTTGCTGCAGGGGCATGCACACCATCTGGCTGCACTGCGCAGGGCACTGGGCAGAGGCTTAGCTACTGGCTTCCCAATGCTCACTGCACCTCCGGACCAGGGAGAGCATCACGGCTCCCCGGTGCCTTAGGGTGGTGGGCCAGGAGGGGTGGGATGGGGGCACTGTCAGTGCACAGCTGTGCACCTCTGTCTGCTGAAGGTTTCTCTTAGCCTAGGAAGTGCCACAACTATGGGTGTCTGGCACCGTGGGGCACCTGGGCCGAGCCCTCGAAGACTCTCGGGGAGCTCTCACGCTGCAGCCAAGCATGCTTGCCCCTGCTCCCAGGCTGCGGGTGGGAGGCACTGGGGGAAAGGGGCCTGGAGCAGCAGTGGGAAGTGGCTGTGCTTGTGCTTTGCCACTAGATGTCAATGTTCCCCCAAGAGTCCGGCAGGCGCCGGCTCCAGCCCATCGGCTGGCGGCCAGAGGTGTGTTGGCAGGGGTTGGGCACTGTGCCTGGGGTCGGCTGCGACCTTACCTGTCGTTACATGGGAGAAGGCAGTGGTGGTGGCCATGCCTGCAATGGAAACGGGAGGCAGAGGGAGTCAGGGAGCCCCTCCGGGAGGGCAGGGAGCAGCCCCCGGTCCCTGCGCCAAGCTCCTGGCACCCAGAGCACAGCGCAGCGGGAGAGGGGACCTACTCACTTGTGGCATTTCTCAGCATGGGCATCATGACGTGCAGGGAGCCGTCGTGCGGCTCCGGCGTGATGCCCAGCAGCTCGCACAGGAGCGGGTAGACGTTCACGCTCTCGAATGGCTCCGTCTGCAGCCCCGCTTGGAAGGCCGGTCCCACCGCCCGGAAGATGGTTTTCATGTTCGTGGCGTTGTTGTCGAAGCCGTGCTCCCCTTTGTTAAACTGCACTTTGATTCTCTGAGAAGGAGAAGTTGAGGCCAGTTCCCAAACACGCCAGCCCCTCGATGCTTGCCCCTCCGTCCTCGGCCCCTCTCTGCCAGAGCAGAGACCTCTGCCCACTTGTTCTACCCCAGCATCCTAGATTGGGAAGTGAGCTGAGTGCACGTCCACATTTGCAAAGGCCTGAGGACGCTGCCTGGCACCCGCTGTGCAGCTGGTCCCTTGGGTGGGCTCCCGCCGCCCAGGGCAGCGCTCCCGGATCGTGACCTGCAGGCACTTTTGTTCTTTCTTGGTGGGGGCTTTTCCTTAGTCTGGGCCCCCAGGGCAGGAAACAAGCAGCCATGGGATGGGGGTCTGCGTCCCTACAGGGAGGGGAGGCCCTGGCCTCTGAGACGGTGGCTTGGCTCAGTGCACGGGGCACCGGGATGGGGAGCGATGGGGAGACGTGGACGGGAGACAAACGCAGGTGCACGGGGAGAGGGAAGGCAGGTGCAAGGCAGAGAGCAGAAGCACCTGCCCGTGGGTCTTACCCCGTGGATCACGTATCCCGGGTCACTGTACATCAGCAGGGGGGTGATCCTGGAGTTGTTGGCGTAGCGCAGCCTCCTGGGGAACTCCTCCTTCTTGAAGACGTGCAGCCGGGGGTGCGCGTCCTTCAGCGCCTGGTACACCTGCTCCAGCTTTCCTTCTTTTGGCACCAGCAGCCCATTGGGGCCGTAATCTAAGAGCTCAAACTGGATATCCTGGAAGGAGAAGTTAGACACTGTCCGGAGGTATATCTCGTCCTGCTTTATTACCGTCTCCATGCCGTGGTCCGAGGTGACGATGAGGTTGAGTCTCGGCTCCAGGCCGCTTTCCCGGATGCGCTGCCGTAGGTACCCGACGGTTCGGTCCACCTGGCTGACCATGTCTTTGCGCTGCTGGGATTCGGGGCCGTGCTTGTGCCCCGTGGAGTCGGGCTCCCCGAAGTAGAGCGTGACGAAGTCGAGGTTTTCCTCCGTGAACCACCTCATGACGGTGTCGATGTTCTGCCTCCACTCGGTTTCGTTGTCGTACTTGTGCCCGAGGGACTCCACCTTCTTCACGCTCACCTGCTCCCCCTGGTATGTCGCGTTGCCCCCCGGGAAAAAGAGGGAGCCTGTCCTCAAGCCCTGGCGGCCAAGACAACGGTTAATGCCATGCAGTCCCTGCTCATCCCCTCCATCGCCCGCCCCGGCCCCGCACTCCTCCGCCTCCAGCACCTCTCTTTCCTCCCAGCGAGGCTTTTCCTGACCTCTGCCTATTTGCTTTGTCCTGATCCGGGGACCTCCCAGCCTTCACCTGCACTGGTTTCCCACTGAGGCTCCTGCCCTGAGCACTTTGCAACCCCTGGAAGTCTTTGCACTGCAGTCAGCGGACACCAGATCGGGCCCTCCTGCGCCTGCTCCCCTGAGAGGCACGAGGCTCAGGGGCTAAGCAGGGCACCGTGGGCTTGGGGGTGGCTTTGTGCCTTCAAGAACCAGCTGAAATGTCCCAGCTAGGGCACAGCTCGCCCGCGTGATGTGAAACCGGTGAGCCGCGGGGCTGTCTCAGGGTGCCCACGGTGGTTTCAGCCCCTGCGTTGGCGTGTTTTCCTGGGGGTGCCCTCCTGCCGTGCAAGGTGACGGCCTGTGAAAGGCCAGACCCTTGCAGCTTTTGTCCTCTCTGCTGCCCTGCCCACCCCTGCAGCCAGGAGCGGTCCGGCCACCCCGCGGGGTCGGTGCCTTGGGCTGCAGAGGAGTGGCAAAGGGTTTGCAAGGGGCGCCCAGGCCCCGTGCACTCCGGAGCCACGTCCGCATTGCCCGTCGGTCCTAGGCCCGGGCTTCGGTCCCCGAAATGGAGCTGCCGGGGGAGGAGGCTGCAGCCACTCGCTCACCTGCCTCTGTGCTGTGATCCAGATGGGCAGGCTGCCATTATCCCACCACACCGAGATGCCCTGGGTGCCGTAATAGGGCACCTTCTTCCCAGAGGTGGTGTTGAACCACATGTTGTGGATCACCCCGTGGTTCTCGATGTACTTGCCTGCCGGGATTGGGGCGGGAGAGCGGGGTTGGTACAATGCCGGGCAGACAAACCCCACTCCCGCGGTCCCCTCCAGCCCAGCCTCCTGTTCTCATCGTAACCGGACGGTTGAACCCCCGTCACCCACATCCCAGACCTCCGCCCCCCGCGTAGTGAGGAGCGGTGGAGGCCTCCTGTTTGCATTTCCAGCCTGAGCCCCACCACAGCCAAGTCCTCCAGTCTGCCCTTCAACCAGCATGTCCCTTTGCTTCAGGAGCTCTTTTCCCCCTGAATGTATTTACAGGGAGCGACAGAGCAGCCTGCATAGACCCGCTGCCTTTCCCTTGCCTAAAACACATGGCCTCCTCCGAGAAAACTCAGCGAGTCCGGCACAGCCCCTATCGGGTAACCCCCTGCTGCAGCCCAATTTCTGCTTGGCACCTTATTAGTCCTTCCTCCAGAGTCTGCTCTGCAGCCCTGGAGACCAGGCAAAGGGCCCCGGCGTCTCTGGGTTGCTTGCTTTTCCTTTCCCTAAGTGCTGGTGCTGTCCTGGCTGCTCTCCAGCCCTCCCCCCCGCCCCATGCCCCCAATTTGATTGCTTCATTAAAAATCCTTCCTGCCACGTCTGCAGTGTCCTGTGCGAGCCCCTTCCGCATGCGGGGATGGAGATGAGCAGCCCCCGCGCGCCAGGGCACCGAGCGCTTTGAGCCAGGCTTCCTCCTCGGAAGCGGCGCGTCCGCACCACTTCCCATTAGCCACCCCGCCTTTGCTCCCAGGGTCTGTATAATCATCCTCGTTAGCAGCGGAGGCAAGGTGTTCATTAGCTGGGGGCTGTGCCCAGGCGGTCTCTCATCTCTCCCACATCCTCACGGCACGGCGGCCCCGCTGCTCTCGTTCTCTGTCTGGCTACAGGGCCTGGTGCCGTTTGTGTCCGTGTGCTCTGCAAGGCTGATTTAGCGATTCGCATATTATACAGACGGCCCCTGACCCTTGGACATCCTCGTGCTTTGCCATCCTCCTGCCGGCTCTCTGCTTCCTCCAACACCCCTAGCGAGGTAGCTGCTTGCTCGTGTCGGCCCAGAGTCTGTCGCTAAAGCTTTCCCCTCGCTTAGGATCCACATTGCAGCTGCTGTTTGCACCTCTGCTGTAAAATAATTCAAATCTCCTCTCCCTTCACGCTCCCGTGCTCTTCAACCCAGGTCATTTCTTCCTAACGCCTACGGACTGAGATTACACATCAACTGGTTTAAGTGATCAGAAACCGATTTAAACCTGTAGCAGAACAGACATCCAGTGCACAGAAACCAGTCTGAAAACGGCCGGCACCGGTTTGAGACAAACCTGGTTGCACGTAGTATCAGACTTAGCCGGTTTGTGCAACGTCTATCCCAGACCATAGGTTCTCCAAATCTGCTCCATTTCAGTACAAAAATCAAAGTTACCTATTATTTATTTTTTCTCAATTTATGTTGAATCCACCGGTGGTCACTTGATCAAAATTTGCTTTTTATGGGCTGTTGGTTGTAGCCGTGTTGGTCTAAGGACACAGGCAGACAAGGCTCTTTGGGTAGATGTGATATTTTTATTAGACCAACTAAATAGTTGGGAAAATTGTTCTTTGCAAGCTTTTGGGCACAAGCACCCTTCTTCCCACCCTCCTGAGAGGCTGAGCAGACTCTCTCAATGCCTGAAGACGGGTGTTCGTGCCCATAAGCTGGCAAAGAACAAGGTTTCCAACTATTTAGTTGGTCTAATACAAAATATTGGTTCTATCCAAAAAACTTTGTTTGCTTTTTTATCGGGTCTTCCCCGCTTACCGGGGCCTAGCATCGCTGCCTTTTGGGTCGGTGACTCCTTGGTGAAGCATTTTGCCCTCTCTCCTACCCGGGAATACGGGGTCAGATGACCCCGGTGCTGTTCGCTCTCCCCTGCATTGGTGACAGCCCACCCGACTGCTGCCTCCCATCAACAACAGGAGCTTTGTCCTCCGTGCTGTCCGTACGTCCAACCTCTGCCTGCTCCCCGTTCCCGCTGGCTCATCTGGGGCTACTGCAATATTTTGCCGATACGGGCCAATGACGTGGCCCCGGGACTGGGATAATGGGAGCCGAGCTGCTTTGCTTTGCCCTGAAGGGGAATGAGAGCCATCCCCAGGGTGCAGCCGGGACAGCAGTGAAGTAGCCGAGGAGCCGGGGTCAGGCCCTTCCCTGAAGGCTGCTGGGTCCTGGCGGGGGTGTGGCAGAAATGCCACCCTCGGTGCCTCTCTCCCGAGACCTGTCTCTGCCAGCCTGAGAGGCTGGTGTTGAATCCCTCAGGGTGGGGGTTGGCTTCCCTGGTCTGCATGACAAAAGCCTGGTGCCTGGAGGGGGATGCTCTGGTCACCTGGGCAAGGGGAGGGAAAGCCCCGCTCACCGGCCCAGGTGACCCGTGATGCTTTTTAAATTGGTTGGCTTGTGGCCAGCACTGGCAGCTTCGATTGGACCGGGCTGCTGAGGTCAGAGAGGGGATAAAAAGGCCTGGGCCAGGAAGAAGGGCAG